GCATCTGTGGTGAACTCCCGAGGCTTGTTCGTTCTCGTGCAGATCCTTCGCTGACCGATGTGTCTGGATTGACTGCCTTCGTGCCCGCCTCGTAACACCCTGCCCTGCTCCCGCCCACTTAATGCGAATTATGCGAATTGACTTCAGGACTTGCTGCGCCGGCGCGGGCTTTCTGATGGGAAGATTGTTGCATTGCAGAGCACTGAGTCTCGCCATCACGCTGCGGATAAGCGTGCTAGTGAGGCGCGACTATTCAAGAAGCTTATCTGAGAAGGCTAAGCCCACCAGCTTCCGGAGATGACGGTGGAACTGGCAGCATGGGACACGCAGCGGATGCTGCAGGCCAAGCGACTAAATCGACTTAGAGCGGCGTGAGTGCGGTACGCTGGTGTCAGGATGAGCGAGCCGGAGAGGAGAGGGGAAAGCTGGGGCTTCTGAGAATGTCCGATCATCGGTTGCTCTTGCAGATTGCCGGCCCACAGGAAACATGCTCGCTGCTTTCGCCACGTCACGTTTCACGGAGCAGCTGCAAAGACTGCAGCTGTGTTAGATCGAATTCGGCTAGCTTCCTGCAGCCCGTGCGGAGCATACCCCGGCATATGAAGCCTGGCTATGCATGCCCCTTTGCCAACGCTCCGCCATTTGCTTCCGTCCGGACGGCGGCTGGCTGCACCTTTACTTAGCAGGGGACCCGAACACAAGGCCGACAGCAAGACTGTAGATAGATGCTGGCCATTTGCCCCAGATTCGACCCCCCGGGCCGCTGAAGACAAAGACCCCTCGTTGCCTGCAAAACGCTGTGCAATCGCCGGTGAAGTCGAAACTCAGTTGGGATTGAAAGGTGCTTCGCGGCAGCTGTCTTGGATCCCGATTTTTTGCCGTCCTAATGTAGGACGTGTACAAATCATCGCCCCAGCGTGTACATAGACATGGAAGCTGAGATCCGTGGCCGCCTTACAGATTGCACCAGCAGTCAGCGCTCTCGGTGAACACGACATAACACGACTCGGAGCCTGAATAGTGCAAGCTGCTACTTTCTACGACGTTTTTTGGATGAATAAAAAATCAGAAAACTCAGATAAGCTCAGAAGGGGGGCTGGACCGGTGCTGGCAGAATTAATTAGAATAAAAGGCATAAGAAATACACCAAGAATCCAAAAAAGTCTGCTACCATTAAACTGAGGGCACGATTTTGTTCCGATGCATTCTGACAGATTTTGGATTTTCTGACTTGTGTCTAACTTTTCTGACCTTCGGGTGTTGGCCGCTGTCGCCAGTTGGCAACTAGCCCAGGAAATAACAATAACTAACAATAACCATTTAGCCGGTCGAGCAATGCTTGGAGAGCAAATTCTTGTACCAGAGCGAGTCTGTCTCTCTCTCTCTCTCTCTCTCTCTCTCTCTCTTTCTCCTTAGGTACCGCCCAGAGTGTGCACATGCACAAACTTGATAGCTGTCACCCAAGCTCTCTCCGGACTGAGGATTGCTGCAGGTGCTGCAGCATTTGGACCAGGACCCTGTTTGGCGTTTGGCGCTCTCTAAGAATTACAGCATTGTGAGACCGTGAGCTGTGCTTCGGGCAATGCCGAAAGCCAAGACAAGCACACAAGCTGGACACAAGAACACTCAGAACGGCACGGCCAAGATTGGCTCGCGGGTTGATTGAAACTGATAGTTCATCCCAGGATATGTCTCGGACCCGATCCGGACGGGTAGGACTATGAAATGTATCGAGGTCTGGTGTGTTGCCATGGGCGGTGTAGTGTGCTCCAGCTTTCTCTACGTGTTCCCACACTGTGTCTGACTTTCAGTTGATGCCCTTGGGTTTTCTGCCTTGGTGTAGCCAAAGCTTGACGGCCACGGATGCTCACAAGGCCTGGCGGAACCCGCCAGCTTCAGTTTGCCTCAATCCTTCAATGCTTGAATTCACAGCGCACGACCGAAGGCTTTCACTCAGACACGGCTCCCATCCTGATGGTTTTTTGGGGCTATTGAATATTGACACCACTACTTTTTCACATTTGGCCTGCAGTCCGCCACCTCCTTCTTGCCATCCATCGGAGAGATTGCAGTTTCGTAGCTTTCAGGCCCCCAGCACTGTGAGTCCTCTTTCCGATGGCGCGTAGACGTATACGCAACCAAGCTAATAACGTGTTGGCCGTACCTCGGAGCAGTATGTGCTGTGCTGCTCCCGCGACTCCTTTGAGATGCGCTGGCGCTGAAAGTTCCTAATGCGTTTGGACCCTTCTCGCATCGGCACTTCCCAGCAATGTGTAGCTTAAGCATCATCGCGTATACGTGGGCTTTGCCGACATCGAAGTCGATGAGCTTTGCGGTGGAAGGGCTGTCGTATGTTTGCTTCAAGGGACAACAGAACTGTCTTGTCCACTTGTGGCTCGGCAGTTTAAAAAAAATATTTGAAGATCACCAAATTGTTCGACTGGCTTCTTAACGTGGTGCTGAGTGCAGAGAATTGCTTCATTCGTTTCACTTGAAGTAGCAGAGCTTTCCTTTTCGGTTTAAACACGCATTTGTTTCTCTATCTTCTCTGAAGGCACCGGAGCTATTCCATACTGCCTCTCGGGGTGTGAGTTAGCATTGCACATCATTGCGCTGTTTCTGTTGATGACCGGTACCAGCAGCCCGGGGGACAGTTGTTTCTGCAGTTGCCTACCTACCTAGCTTGCCTGTTGCTAAGTGTCTCCCCGCGGGCCGATGGGGCTCTACCATCGCGGAAGGGAACTGCAAGGCCCCAACAAAAGTATGCGGCGTAGGGGCGCCGGGACGGGGCAACTGACTTAGCAGGGTCGGGGCAACTGAGAAGGTCAGAGCTGAGTACTTGGTACAGTTTGCTGAGAAACCCCAAAGCCGGCTATAACAAAGGGGGTGGCTGGGTTGCACGACGGGCCCCAAGCCCGTAACAGTGACTGGTATCAGAAGCAGTAACACGAACCAGCTTGGGGACGGGCCCTGGAAGCCGATCTTGCACAAACGCGTGGCAGCAGCAACAGAACTCGGAGCAGAAGCCTAAGAAGAACCATCATCGGAAGCCAACGACCGGAAACGAAGCGCGAACAGTGAACGAGAGAAACATTCGGTTGAGGAATCAGGGATTGCTTGCAGTTTAAGTTTGCACTGTGATCGTTTGCCTTGTTGATTGCGGACCTGAAGACTGAGCAGCAGGGTTGAAGGTCTAGCTTTCGAGAAGATTGAAGCTTCCAGGTTGCAGGGTTTCAGCAGGTGCGTTTTTTGGATTCCGGAGTCTTGGTGTGGATGTTGAGGCCGGAGGTACACATGCTGGAGTCGTAGGTCTGAATCCCTCTAGCTCAGGGACCCGAAAGCGGTCCTGAGCCAAGCCGAGCCACAATTCCCGTTACTCCCCGCACCCGGCGCGGTGAGTATTTCTGGGTACGTCTTTTGTGATCCTGAGATTCAATGTGTGTCTTGATCCTTTTTCGTTCTTTGTATCCAGTGGCCCATTGTTTAGGCTTGACACAGGGGTTAAGGGCCTGGGGCCTAGCTCCCTCAGCGTGGGGGAGACATGGGAAACTAGTTTCCCAGCCTTTTCGGCCATTGCAATGCATTTTTCGTCAGCCCCTGCTGAGTGCTTCACCCGTTTCATATACGTCGTGAGCTCAAGCGAAGCGCTAGATCTTCTTGCGTGGGGCCAAGTCCGTCATGAATGCACTGCGGGGTGCTTGATGCAGACACTCTGTTCAGGAGCGTTTTTGGAGTCTTCCGGACCTTGAGAAGATCGTGCAGGCGATGAGCAGCGCGATATGTGTAGATGTTATACTGCTCTGTCGTCGGTTTGCTGAGGAGCTGGAAACTCGTAATTGGGGATCAGGCACACGAAGCTACTATTTTTTGCTTTGCTTCCTACATCACGCTTCTGGTGTCTTCACCTGTGTCAGGTTTATATCAGAATGATGTCCTGTGGCGGCGGCTTGGTCGACACCTGGTCAAGTTTCGGGAATGTCAGGATCCTCGGGACGATGCTCCAATTGCGGGTGCAAGAAAGACAGCTTTGACTTTACCTGACCTCGAAATTGAGGTCAGCCGACGTCTTGGTCTGCTTGATCCGCGACTGTGACTGCTGATGTGACTTTGTTTCTGTTTTGGGATGTTCTGGGCACTGCTAGTACTGAAGGCAGAAACGAATCATATCAGTGCTAAGTCCGTTTCGTCGCGACCCCGGTATCAGTCAGGCGTGCCAAGATCCCGTTTGACCTCCTTTGTTTTGTTCTTTCACTCAGTTCTGTGGCGAGGCCAAGATGTTGCTCAGAAACTTGCGGATTCAATTACGGCCTTCAACGACTACCTTAACTCCGCGCGGTGCCTGGCTGCCCGATTTCCGCTTTGAAGCTAATTCTGAACAGCTGGATGCCAGCTGCCTCGGCACACTGAGGGCAACCCCTTGCGGCTGGAACAGCTGTTGCAGGCATGTAGCTTCCACTACAGTCAAGCACAAGCTCCGAATGTTTGCCAACTTCTAGCATTTGCGAATTGTGCTCTCGGTCCCGTCAAAGGCTGTGGATGACGCTCCGCAGCTGTTGTACTACAGGCTTCTCATTCTCTGAAGTTGGCGACAAACTGATGCCGCCGAATTTGAGCTTAGTGGGACCAGGCACTGTTCCGATTTGGAACTGCGAAGCCACTTCCTTCTTGCTTTGGGCGGCGCAATCCGAGCAGCTGAGGTGGGGTCCAGGGTAGGTTGTGAGACTCTTTCGCAGTTGAACCGTCACAAGGGCTCAGCCGCGTCGAATGCGGCGACACGCCTACGAATCCTTGCAGGGCGAGTGGCCGGCACTGCCCTCGAATTGGCTGTTGTATAGTCTAGTGCCGGAGCTGTTCCTGTTATAAAACAAAACCTAAGCCTAGGAACTTTCTTCAGCGTTGGCGGCACGAACGCGTCTTGGCGAGCACTGGAGACATGAAAGAAGCACCTTCGAGCCTTCGAGCGCCATGTTGAGGTGCTGCAGCCTTGGCTTGATGCCAGGTTGACGGGGTACTGCAGGTTATGGCAGGCAGCCACGGAAAGTATCACTCAACGGTTCAAGGAGGATCAGTGGTACCATTCGGTGCTGGTGCTGCAGTGTTGTATGACAGCTTAGGACCAAACCAAGCTCAGAACGCGTCAAAAGCTAGGAGTTGCGAGACCGCTTGGCTTCTACCATAACGAGGCATTTGAGTGTGCATCACCAGAACCTCCCTCGACATGCTTATCCCTCCAGGTATGCCAGTCTTGCTGGAAAGGATGCAGGCCTCGGCGTTTGATTGCCACTGTGTTGTGGCTGTACCTTGTGGATCGTGACGGTGACGCACGGCTGATGTCTGAATAATTTTGCAATCATAATTGAAGAAGTCAGCCTTAGTGAAAGAGTTTCGATTTAAGTGTGCTGCACTGATTCTACTGGGTCGTCCAGGTGTTGCCTCCACGACTGCATCTCTCAAACTGTCTGGCTGGCCAATGGCTGGCTGTCCCTTAGCACATGAGCCAGAGCCCCAGCAGAGTCTCAGCTGCGGAGGGCGGGGCAATGCACTCTCAGGTTCTCAGTTTTCGTAGCTGAGAAGTCTCCGCATGGAGCCCTGGGACGATGGAGCAGTCTGGATTATCAAGCTTTTGCCTCAATGTTGTTGCATGCATGGCCGACTCCGTGGGATGAGCATGGCGAGCTGCCAGGCCCATACCATGCAACCCGAAGTTCTCATGCACGTCTGCCTTTCGGTCGGCGAGCTAGATGTTGACACCACAGATGCTCCACTTGCGCCTGCAGCCTACATCAGCCTACAGCAATCCGTTTCAGGGTGCAGGCACAAGTTCTTGTTACAGTTGGCGCTTAAGGCGGATATCGGTGTCACCTGGCCTTCTGGCAAAGCAGATGCAGACAATGACTGTGGAAGATCCTCCGCCAGCTCAGCCCGCTGATTCGCCTCTGGAGCTGGCGGCCTCGTCTGACGAGCGGTTGGCGGCAACGCCTCCAACCCCTCTGGAAGAGATGCGCACTGAGACCCATCCAGAAGCTGAAGCTGCCGAGAGAGCGACGTGCCCGGATGAGTGCGGTTCAGCCTCGGCTGCAAGCTTGCTTGCGCTTGCGAGGTTGGCGTCTCTGTGCCTACCAGCACCTCGCAACGAACGGTCCGCCTTTGCATTTCCCATGCCGCAGCGTCCGGCACCTGATTGCAAGTGGCAGGTATTATCCTTCGGAGGCAGCTCCAAGCCGAAGGGTTCCATAATCACGACAGGCGGCATGCGGCAATGATATCACGTAAGAAGCAGCAAACACTTGTAATCCAGTGCGTGAGGCATGCTGAATGCCGATGGTGGTGACAGCGTGCCTCAAGCTCTAGGCCCCCAGGCTGCGACATGCTCAATCTGTGCGCCAGCTTTTAGTGCCCATGCTTGCATCTCAGGCTTCGAGGCCGCCACGAGAAGCAGAGGGAACGGACTGCGTGTCGCGCAGGAAGCCAGCAAGGCTCACGGGACCGTGTCGAGTGTTGTGTCGTTTGCGGTTTGGCATGGCCGACAAGGAAAGCCGCGATGCTCCTAAACTCGTTCGAAGGCAAGGCCCTGTCGCCAGTTCCGCATGCAACGATGTGAAGCACGGTTGAAGTGTTGGCCAGGTCTATCGACTGGGGTGATGTCTCCTTTCTCCAGCGGCTGGCCTGCTGCCTGCCAATCGCACACACTTTTTGCAAAACCTTGAAGAGCTGCTGATAGATCCCATTGAAAACAGAGCTGAGTCGCTCGCTTGGGCAAGTTCGACACAACCCGTCCCGGGGCATGACGCAGTGGTCATGATCGACGTCAGACTGTACCGAAATACAAGCATTAATTATTAAATTGGCACCTGGCATGGTCCCGCAATCCCGCGAGAGCAGGTCCCCGTCAAATTCAAATTTGTCAACAAGGATGGAGATAGACTGAAACGGACGTGTTCAGAAAAAAGTATGTATCTGCAGTTACAGTCGTAAACCCATCCTAAATTCTCACTCCCACTCCACAGTCCAAGCAGAGCAGAGAGACAGGGAGACAGAGGGAGGGACCTCGGACGACCCACCTGGTGCTTGCAGGTCTGTTATGGTGATGGTCTTATGAGGGGTGTTTTTGGGGGGACGGGTTACAAGCACAGGTGGGGGAACGAGACAATTTCTCACCCCGGAAGGGGCCTGTCAGACCTTGGACGATTGCGAACCGTGGGGGGGTTGGCCTCCGGGCCGGGGTGCTTGCACCCATACCCCTTCGCAAGCAAGCAAGCAAGAGGTAGCGAGAGAGAGAGAGAGAGAGAGAGAAAAGAATGCCTGGCGAAAGAGAAAAGAAAAGAGTGCAAGCAAGAAAACGCAAAAAGCGGAGCCAGGGGATTCGTACCCAAACCCCTTGCAAGCAAGCAAGGAGAAAGAGAAGCAGGAGAAAAGACAAAAGTTTGTTAGCTTGCACACATGCTCAGAAACTGTGGTATGGGTTTAGGGTTTCCTGAGCTCAAGAACCGAGACGCGAATGCTTTCCAACTCGTTGGTATTCGTTGGTTGCGACGACTCCCTGCGCGTGATCCCCTAAGCGTTGCGAGATACAGAACATATGATGTGTGCCCCAGGTGCGACGAGGGCTGAAGGCAGCAGACGCTGGATGGAAGCAATCCTGGGAAGAGCTCGCAGCTTATGTACCGGAGTTCTGTGGCTACATGACGGCTTTGTCTTTGTCACAAGGTTGTGTGAGGAGAAACAAATTTCGCCGAGCTTCTTTGTCCAGAAGCCATCGAGAGAGGCACGATGCGCGTTCACTTTCCCCGCAGTTAAACATGTTCGATTGCCACTAACTAGCTACTCCTGACTCGGCAAAGTCTAGTAAGAGTCTGGTACGCAGAATGGCAATGGTTCAGTTTTGTCTCATGCATGTTGTAAAGCAGCGCACGAGATGTGCTTCTCTTTCACCCTTACTAGTGATGGACTGACTGTTGCTGACTCGTGGCAAAATCGAGCCCAAATTCCCTCATCGTACCTTCATCAAGTCTGCACCATGTTTCACCCAGGTGCCTAGGTACAAAGTCGTGGACAGTATAATTTTCGGGACACGAAACAAGGCAGTCATGGCCGGGAAGTGATTTTGCAACAGCTTTCATTTCGTAGATGCCTCGCGGGTTTTGCGAGTCTGTGGGCATAGGAGGCTACACCTGTACAGGGGCGTCTGTCAGGTCAAGCATTGACAGCATTGGTGTGAGAGACTAAGGTACGAATGCTTGCTGCAAGTTGCTGCCGACTGCCCAAGCCTCCCACAGCGGCCGATTCAGCTCAAGAGTTCGGAGCGGCTAAAGCGTTGCCATCCTTCCATCGTTTCTTGCCATTCAGTGCCTGTTGCAGATGCGTGTAGTTGTGACCGGTGCAGGCGGGCAAACTGGGAGTCTGGTTGTGAAGAAGCTGATAGAACATGGTATTGAAACAACTGCCGTGGTGCGAAGTGAAGTCAGCAAGAACAAGCTGGTTGATCAACTTGGTGCTAAAGCTGCTGTTAACATTGTACTGGCGGATGTTACCAATCCCGACACTTTGAGGCAAGCCTTTGTCGGTATGGATGCCTGTGTCATTGTGACAAGCGCTATGCCACGACTGCTAAAGTCCTCTTTGCTTGGTGTGATCCTTGCGAAAGTCTTCACACTAGGTTATGTATCGAAAAAGCCTTCGTTCTATTTCGATGAGGGACAGTCGCCTGAGACAGTTGACTGGATGGGCCAATGCAGTCAGATTGATGCCGCCAAAGCTTCCGGACTGAAACATGTTGTCCTTGTCTCGTCAATGGCTGGGACAAAGCCGGACCATTTTCTGAACACGCAAATGGAGAACATCGTACTCTGGAAGAGGAAAGCCGAGTGCTACCTCGTGGCGAGTGGCATACCTTATACCATCATCCACCCTGGCGGTCTCCTGCCGCACTTCGGGGACAGTAAACCAGCTCCAGGCGGGCGGCGACAGCTCTATGCTGGCATTGATGATTCATTGATGGACGACGGAGAAAACCGTAGCCAGGTGCCTCGGGAAGATGTGGCAGCCGTTTGTGTCGCCAGCCTTTTGGAGCCCCAGCTTTCGAAGGGACGCTCTTTCGACCTGGGTTCTGGGCCCGACTTGGGCGAGCCTTGCAACCTAAGCCTCAAGGACTTGCTCGAGCCCCTTCAAGGCTCCAATGCTTGCTACACGAAGGAGCAGGCAGAGTTCAAAGGCAGCAAGAAGATAAGAACTTGCCCTTGCGGTGAGCAGTAATTTTTCGCACAGGTCGGAGACGCTGCTACCCTGCTAACGGTTGTCACGACGTTGTCACGTGGAACACACCGCCGTTTGGCAGGGGGGTAGGCACAGGCACTGGGCAACGACCGAAGAAGCAAAAGTTTCTCCAGTGTGCTGCTGAATCCTTGTCGTGCTTTATATGCGCCAGGAATCCTTCACGAACATGCTTCGCATGTGGAGGTCTTGGTGGAGTTCGTAGAGGCGAACCTGTGCCAGACCACTGGCAAGGTTCAAAGCTCGGCTTGATGTTGAATGTTGATTGCGAGCCGATAAGCATCCACGCAAATGGACGCACAAATCAACCAACCGAGGCATGGGCACAAGCTCTGTTGTATAAGAAAGAGGGCGAGGAGTGGCTCGAGCAGCATGTGGCAGCCATGTGCAAGACAAGCTTATTGGAGGACGACCCTGCCCCAACGGACGAGTTGTCTGACCAGGCCGGATTGCAAATGGAAGTGGTAGGAATCCTTCGTGTTTGTAGAGTGAGGACTCAGATCCCCCCGCCGTGCTTCAATCGGATGACATCCAGGCCAAGGAAGAAGAAACTGATTCAAGGAAATGCAGAACTGCAATACTTAGCAGACTTATCAATATTGCAGGACAGAAATTCGACAAAGGATGGTAACCGACCAGGAGTGAGCCCTGAGGCCTTGTGCCTGGTCAATTCCGTGAACTTGCCTGAAACATGGAACGTTCTAGGTGTGCATTGATCGCCCCTCTATCGATTGTGTTGCCAGAAGTAGGCCCTCCCGAAACCATGTCCCCGACGTTGTTCCTTCTCGGCTTCGATGTCCCGGTCGGGTCAAGTAGGCATGTTCGCTTGCCGGCGTGTGGGTGGAGAAGAGGATTTGGGTTTCGCCGCACAGTGGTTCAAACAACTTGTTTTTCTTATGGTCTTTTGGAGCCCAAGCAAAACTTTTTAGATGTCAAGCCTCTCGGGCTGCGTAGCAGGCCGAGGAATGAACAGTCAGAATAAAGATCGGCTTGGGTCTGGGTATGTCTGGGTTACATGACACTTTCTACAGGCTTTAGCAGACAACACGATTCCACACTTGAGTGGAAATTTCCTCATGATCCTCATGTTTCCATAGTTGCTCGACGCAAGTGTGTGCAACTTCAGCTTCCACCCTAATGGCAAAGCAACCTCCTGCATCCGTGAAGCCTGCAGTTTTCACACTACCAGCTGGAAGTCATCGAGTTAGTTTGGTTGTACAAGTGTACGTGTGTGCTTTCGTGCGTTCGCCGTGAGCATGCTTGCCAGATCTGCCAGGTTTCCGCTTCGGAATCTTCCTTTACGCCGCAGCCGAGCCAGTCTGCTCCCTCCACCGTGAGACTCCAGGATCTTGGGGAAGGACGGTCATATAGTTCACATGCCGTCATCGACAAGTGTAAACTTTAAAATACTTTAAACATATGCTCAGTTGCGATTATCCCGCCGCAAAGCGCGTTAAACCGCGCCGCGCGTTTGGCGGCAGTTTCTTCACTGTCAGGAGTCTCGAAGCCGAAAGTTGGAAGCGATGGAAGCGAGCAAGAGTCGCCGCAGCGTGTGGAGGATGCAGCGCAGCCGCCGCAGCCGCCGCAGAGTGAGGCAGACGAGGCACCTGTGTAGGAGAGTTAACAAACCCCGCCGAGCCCCGAGCTGTGCTACAGATATGCACGTTGACGTTCAGCTTTCGGATTTCAGAGCCAGTTTTGTGATGGGCTTCCCTCAGCACGCTTCCTGCGGACAAATCTTGGACCCGTGATGACCTGTGGGACACGGCTGAGACATCACAAGGGACAGCATCCGCACGAACACCGGTAAATCCAGCATCGGGATGTACTTGCACGGATAGACTTTGCTTGGAGCTGTTCAGAGAAAAGAATTGCAATGCATGCATCATACGGTGACTTGTTGACTCTTGCCTGATCTCCACTATCCACTGTCTTGCAGGCTTTTCCAGACGCACCAATGGCGTCAAAGGTGGAACCTGAGGAGAGAGTGGCAGAGGAGGCAGATGCCGCGCTATCTGAAGTTCCGCCGGAGCTTGCTCCAGGCAAGGCGGGTAAGAAGGAGAAGAAGGAAAAGAAGGACAAGAAAGAAAAGAAAAAGGACAAGAGAGCCAAGAAAGAGAAAAAGGAGAAGTCAGACCCGACAACGGAAGCACAGCCGAGAGAGTCCAAGAGGCAGGCACCACAGGCGTGGCAGAGCTTTCATTGCCGACTGTCACTGCACGTGGCGTCTTTGCATGTATAGGCAGTTTTGGCTCGATTGACAGGTTGCAATTGTGGCGGCGCAGCTTGACAGCTCCAGCGATTCGAGCAGTGCCGAGATTGGGCCAACGACAAGTGTTCCACCCTCAGAGTTCGGGCATATAAGTTTGCACCTGCGCTACGTGAGTTGTCCGAGCCGAGACGCCGCCTTCGCGAGACTACAAGACAGACCCTCAGGCGTTGGAGCATAGTGTTGTCCCATGTTGTCCCTGCAACTTCAAACGGTCAAAGACACAGACTTTCGCGTTTTTCCCCAAGTCCACATGTTGTGCAGCTTCCAACAAGGACGCATTTATGCAGCGAATTCTTGGAGGGTAGGTGCCGCAAAGGACTGCACCTCAGTCCTGCCATTCTAGGCATTTGGATATTCTGGCTGGCGGGAAGACCTGCCTAGTCGATGCTTCAAGGGCACCAACACGGAACACAGTTTGAGCAATGACGAGGCAGCACGTGCCCAGCTGCGCACTCCCAAAGTGAGCTCAGACAGCCTGGAGAGGCCATGCTTTGCCAGATACCTCACAGTTCGCACGTCAAGTCGAGCTTTACTGATGCAGTCAACGGCTCAACGGGACTGTATTGCATGGCTCAAGTTGTTTCCAGGCACACTGGCACAAATGAATGCTCGCCCACCGAGCCAACGCAATGGTGCCCCGCCACGAAGTAGCGTACAGCGAAAGCCTGGCTCAGCACCGCGACCCCCATCTCGCATTGCTGATGTGTCGCAAGTATCACCTGAAGCAAGAGATGCGAGTGCATCGAGTGCTCGAGGTCGCCCCTCGCCAGAAGCTGTGTACAGCGTGAGCAATGCGAGAGATGCAAGAGACGTCCAAACGGCAGTTGGCCGACGGCCAGCCATGGCAGCCAGAGGTCCTTTGGGAGCTGCAGGCGCAAGCGTCAGCACGAAGCCTGCCCGGGCAGCATCGAGTGGACCTGGCGTTGGTCGATCAAGCGCACATGGAGGAAATGAAGTCAATAGAACCCCAACTTTTGCATATTTGCGACTTTATGGCTTAAACCAATATGCTCGCGCTTTCGTAGCAGCAGGATTCCATGACTTGGAGACAATTGGCAGACTTTCGGAGACAGAGGTGCTGGACTTCTTAGAGTCCCTTCGTGTTTATCCAGGCCATAAGCTACGGCTCCTTCGAGCCATCGAATGCTTGCGGCATGCCGTGCTGGGAGCCGATAGGCGGGAGGAGCAAATGCTTGAAGATGACGCGGCCTTGCAGCGGCTGTGCTCACAGAACTCTGAGCTGACACGAGGCAAGGTAGAAGCTGAGAATGAAAGCAAGAAGTGGCAGCAAGAGACTCGCAGATTGCTTGAAGTTATCCGTGATCAAGGAGCAGAGCTGCAGAAGCAGCGTGACAAAGTTTTAGAACTTGAGGAACTGGTTCAAGCCCAGACCGAACAGGTGGATTTTCTGACCAGCCAGCTGCATGCACTGGCACAGGCTGCTGGGCCAGAGACTCTGAATGACATGTTCCAATCTCACAAGGGTCGTGGGGTGGATTGGGGGCTCAGAGACACCGAGTCTCCACAGCCAGATTTGCCTGTGCGAGCTAGAGCCTTCAGCGACTCAGACTCATTGACGATGCCGACACCTCTGGGAGGATACCTGCATGAGCCCGCTGTGGAACCACCGCGGGCCAAGTTCGCAAAGTCCATGGAGATTCCATCTGCCAACGCCGAAGTGGATAATCTCATAAGGTGTCTCGCAACTGCACTGCAGAACAAAGTCATACTGTCGGTGGGAAAGCCTCGGCCCCACACCGGATCAGTTGAATGCCTGGCTGCTTGTGCCATTTTCTTGGAGCCTGTTTGCAAAGATATGTTGGAAAAGCAGGTGCGACCTCGAGAAGCGTGTGGTGAGGGATTTCCTGGCAACGAGCAAAGTGATTTCGGCACGCCTTTGTCTAGCATGTGCTCGCCATTGATGTCCAAAGAATCATCTGCGCAGGTCTCCGAATCCTTGAACAAGCCAAGCCATCCGTTCAACTCAATTGCAGTTCGACGGATTCCGAACAAATGGGACATATATGATTTTCTTGAGCTCGTTATCCATGCATTAGAGGTCCATCCGGAGGTCAGCGTTGTCACGTTGGTGTATTTGGATCGGTTCTGTGAGACAAGTGGCATTGCTCTGACGCCAGACAATTGGCAAAGATTAACAATCACTGCAATGATGCTTGCTTCAAAGGTGTGGTATGATGAGTCCTACGAGAACGTAGACTTTGCCCAGAAATTCGATCTCTACAGCTTGGCAGAGATCAACACCTTCGAACGCATCTTTTTGAAATGCGTCTCTTATGACATGTCTGTAAAAGCCGTACAGTATGCACAGACTTATTTCTTCTTAAGAACTTTGGGAGCAAAGGATTCCGTAGAGTTCACCCTCCAGCCGTTAGACGAAGTGGGAGAGTCGAAGCTTCAAGAGCGATGTTTAGCGAAGCAGGTTGAATTCAAGCGGAGGTATCTAGGAGACGGAAAGGACTTCTCTGTGACAACCGCTTTCTAAGCAAGGCGAAAAATGCTTCTGACAGTTTCACATGACTTTTGACGAGGTCGCTTCCAATTTGACTTGTGTTGTGTGGGCAACAGCACATCATGAACAGGCAGCTGCAGATTTCCGACGACAAGTGCGATCTCGGACCGTGAGAGACGGTGGAGGTTGCGTACTAAGGGCAGGCACAAGGACATGGAGCCACATACAGAGCTAGAGACAGGCGACATGCCGCCTCGCCGGCATGGGCCTGAACGGGCTGAACGTTGGCTGAACGGTTTCCGCATGTTCCACCACTCTCCGAGGGGCGTCGCACCGGCATGGCCAGGGCCAGCTCCTGGGCTGCACAGCTCTTCGCACTCCTTTGGGGACCCCGCCGCTCTTGCTTCCCGCCGCTCTTGCACAGGCCCGTCAAGCCGGCTTGGGCATGGGGCCTGGTCCATCGCAAGTTGCGATGGGTGTTCATCACCTCATGGACCCGCTCATGACCCAAACTCAGGGGGAGAGAGAAGGGCAGCGAGGGACAGTCAAACTTGAGACACCGGCTCCAGAGCGCTCGTCAGGATGGCACATCCAGCCATCATGACCGTGCCGTTCATGACGCCCGAGATGATTCACGGGCCCGGCTGAGCCTGCGAAGTCGAAACAGTGTAACAGCCAGTACTGCAATGTCCTGGCTCTGGCTGTCGGCAGGCCTTCGCACTATCACCCAATGGCCATGATTGTGGACCCAGCCATGGTGATGCCTAAGTTTAAAGAGAAGCATGAGAAGAAGAGCAAGAAGGATCACAGGGAGAAAGAGGCACGCCAACGCAGCTTCGCAACAGAGCTGGGGACCCAGCTGGGATTTGCAGGAGCGTGATCGAGACAGAGAGAAGCAGAAACGAAAGGCCAAGCCCGTCGTTACTACTTTGTTCATACACTAACGGCACTAACGTTGAACACAGGCAGAGAAGACTACCGATGCTTCTGCCACAAAGCGGCACGAGCAGGAATGCTGGCGACAAGGCAACTGCTGCCTTGAAGAACATGCTGTGTCAGTGTCCAGGAGAAGCGGCAGCTAAAGCAAAAAGAGAAAGTCGCTAAGCGCAAGGCACCGTGTCTGTGCTGATGCAGCATTGTCTTCTGTAAGAAACCTGTTTTTCGACAGCCGGATCCTGCAACTGCCAATGCGGATTCTGCACATAGCAACAAGCTAACTGTTGGACTTGTTTCGGAGGAGCACTCCAGAAACAGACCAAGCCTGAGCGCAGAGTTTTGGGTCATTTAGAGGCTTCGGACAGGTTTGCAGTCAAACAGTAGACAGGTAATTGAACGGTGCAGATGCGGTCAAATCGACTGAGGAAAGCACATCAAAGCCGGAGTCACGGATTGCCGACACACGCGAGAAACAAGCAACACAGGCGGTCAAAAAGCTGGTTCTGAATCGACTGGATTGCACAATGTTTGAGAACACACATGTATATAGCATGCGCATTTGCTATGCAGAATGATTTCGGATCTGTCACTGTCATTGCGGAGGAAAAGCATACAGGCGAAGACAAGGCTGGATCCGAGACCTGAGCCAGCGGGTGCCATTTCTGCCGACATAAAAACAACCATTAGCGAATAAAAGATGCCACAGCACCATGCGGCAGGTAGCTGCCAAAAAAGAAAGAAAGGTCGATGACGAGGATCTGTGACTGCGAGACTCCGTGATTAAATCGATGCAGAGCTGAGCACTGCTGGACGCTTGACATCAATTTCGCACTAAAGCTCACTCTTGCCAGTGGCTTCAGACCCTGTGCGAACAGCACTGGTGACTGTCATGTTCTGGCCACAGGCACGAGTCCCACAAGTATGTTGCCACGGCACACATCTGTTCCACCACAAAGCAAGATCGGATTTGATCTTTCGTGACAGCAGCAGCACAGACAACAACATCCGCAATGGTTGAGCACTGCATGGGACCTGATTACAGAAAGTAGCAGTTGCATGCGGCCTGCGGCTCTCAGAAGATGACCGACTCGTGGGCCTCCTGTGCTCTTTTCATACTTTCACCGTGAGGAGAGAAACCTGTGAAGCACAGGTCTGCGGGTGTGCCGGGTGTGCTTGTCGCTGGCCCAGACTAGCCCATCTTTTTGGACTACGCGAAATGATATGTTGCTGGAGCTGAGGTTCTGAATACATTACAAGACAATGACCGGGTGGGAGAGAGGAAGCGTTTCCTTTTGCAGGGAGGTCATGTCGATATCTGCGAAGAGCCAGTGGCTCAAGAGCTGAAATCCAGGAAGTCACGATGATGAAAAATCACAATACAGGCTTGGCCCTGGCTCGTCCTCAGACGACTCGCCGCAGCATTCTCAGCAAAGGAAGACTCGATGAAAGACTAAGATCCCTTCGCTTCACTAAGGCTGGAGGGAGCCGATGTTGCGAATTTGTCCTATTCTGTGTGCCCCATGCGATACTCAAACTCTTCATATCTCTTCATGACAAAGAATTTTCGACCTGGGCTGGGATTCCACTGTTGGCCGAGAGATTTCCAGGTACAGCAACACCCTATGGGACGGCTCGCTGCTTCTCGCCTCGTTTCTGCGGTCCCAGCTGCGTTCCCAGCAGTGCAGTTGAACCTCCTCCTCCTCCTCCCACCATGACATACCATGACCATCGTCAGCAGAAGCAAACAGTCGGATGGCATGCAGGCCGTGGCGTGTGCGGGGTCAGCGTGTTCTGGAGATTGGCGCTGGATTGGGACGGGCCCTATGAAGCTTTTCTTTCTCTACGTTTGCAGGTTTCACTTGCGGTCTTACAACGTTTCGCGAGCTCTGCGGAACCAGGCTTGCCCTCCATCGTCGCTGCTGCCATCGGCGGCCACGTTATCGCGACGGACTGATTCACGCAAGATTTCACTGTATGGCTACACGTATTGATGCACTGCGAGTGGAGTGAAGTTAGTTAGCAATGGATTTGAGAAGAAGTATGTCACTTTCAAAAGGAACAGTCACCAGTTGACTTGCTTCGTCGAGAGGTCTGCGACATCCTTAGATAGACACTCAATACAAGCGTACGTAGTTGAAAAGATCGAGAACCTTAGCCAAAGTGCCTTTTCTCCAAGGTCGGAACAAAGAAGTTATTGCGGCAGGAGGTGGTTCCATCGATGTTCAAGAGTTGGACTGGGCCAGGAACTTGACACATGTTGTTTTGACTAAGACACAGTGCTAGAAAACTGCACCAAGTCCGACCGAGGCTGAGAGTCCAGAACACATCAGCCAGCGTGCCTCGTTCGAAGCTGCTGAAAACTGCCCGCTTCTTCTTAAAGCGAGTGAGGTCTGGGCTCCTTTGACGTGGTGCTGGGGTGTGACATTCTGGCTGGCCAGCCCGTCATGAGCGGATTTAGTTGCAGTTGATGAAATTTCACGGCGCACATGGACAGGTGTCAAGCCGGGCACTGCGCGCAGCTCTCGGATGCTCTCGGTGTCCTGTGCAGAAATTTGCCATTGCTTCGCAAGCAGAGGCATTTCCGCCAAATTCTGGACGTTGTTCAGAGCGTTGGCACAGTTTCATCCTCGGCTTCTATTTCAAAATGGCTACGGCTCAACGCCATTTCGGCTCGAACTGCACACTGAGTTGATACCTGACCCGCGGAGCCTGTGAGTGAAATGTCTCTCTCTGCTCTTGCAGCTCGTGTCCGTGCTCCTGCTCCTGTTGACTTCTATGCGCAAGCTGCTTTGGATGCTGCACCAGGAAAACCCACTTCTGCCATGCTTCCCTTGCCTGGTGGGTGCCTGCAACGGATGAAGTTCCCCTCGTCGTGATGCTCGTGGTGAAGGGGATACTCGTCCGGGGGACGATGAAGAGAAAGAAAGATCATTGCCCCTTTGCACCGAACCAGAACCACAAGGTTTAGATCCACAGGGCTTTTTCGACAGAGTTGGCTTTTAAAGACGTTTACAGACTTTTAAAAACTTTCAAATGCAAGAAAAAACATTCTAAAAACTTTTAGAAGACTTTAAAAGACTTTTAGAAACTTTTAGAAGACTTTTGCAAACTTTAAAAGACTTTTCAAAACTTTAAAAGGCTTTTAAAATATTTAAAAGACTTTTAAAAACATTAAAATACATTTAAAAGCTTTAAAAATACTTTAAAAGACTTTTAAACGCTTTTAAAAGCTTTTACAAACTTTAAAAAGAATTTGAAAGACTTTTAAAGACTTTAAACAACTTTTAAAAATTTTTAAAAACTTTAAAACAAAAAAAAACTAATGTTTTTTCCGAGAAGACGAGGATGAAGAAGACCTGGCACAGGGTTTACAGTTTCAGGGTCTTTAGGGTTTGGGGTTAGAAGGCAGAGTGCCATAGTATTAGGGGTTTGAGGGTAATGAAAGGGTTAGGGTTAGAGTTTCAGGGTCTTTATTATATTTAGGGTTTGGGGTTAGAAGGCAGAGTGCCATAGTGTTAGGGGTTTGAGGGGAATGAAAGGGTTAGGGTTAGAGTTTCAGGGTCTTTAGTATTTAGGGTTTGGGGTTAGAAGGCAGAGTGCCATAGTATTAGGGGTTTGAGGGTAATGAAAGGGTTAGGGTTAGAGTTTCAGGGTTTTTAGTATATTTAGGGTTTGGGGTTAGAAGGCAGAGTGCCATAGTATTAGGGGTTTGAGGGTAATGAAAGGGTTAGGGTTAGAGTTTCAGGGTCTTTAGTATTTAGGGTTTGGGGTTAGCAGGCAGAGTGCCATAGTGTTAGGGTTTGAGGGTAATGAAAGGGTTAGGGTTAGAGATTCAGGGTCTTTAGTATATTTAGGGTTTGGGGTTAGAAGGCAGAGTGCCATAGTATTAGGGGTTTGAGGGTAATGAAAGGGTTAGGGTTAGAGATTCAGGGTCTTTAGTATATTTAGGGTTTGGGGTTAGAAGGCAGAGTGCCATAGTATTAGGGGTTTGAGGGTAATGAAAGGGTTAGGGTTAGAGTTTCAGGGTCTTTAGTATATTTAGGGTTTGGGGTTAGGAGGCAGAGTGCCATAGTATTAGGGGTTTGAGGGTAATGAAAGGGTTAGGGTTAGAGTTTCAGGGTCTTTAGTATTTAGGGTTTGGGGCTAGAAGGCAGAGTGCCATAGTTTTAGGGTTTGATAGTTTTAGGGATGCACAAATCGCGTGAAGTGGCTACGAACTGCTGGATGTTGCGCTTTTCTGCGTTGACCACACTGTCAAGCGAATCACGTGCAGGCGAAGCAGGGTACAGCTGGGTGACGCGACAACGTCTGGCACTCTGCCTTCCCAGCTGCTGGCACCCTGCCTTCCCGCCTCAAGATCCATTAATTATTGCCACCCCAACTTTGCACTCAGCTGGTCGGTCAAAGGTATTGCTCCAGCATCAAGGTCAGGAAGTTCCCCCGGACCACCGAGACGGAGGGCAACAAGTGAGAGGTGTTTCATCTGAAGGACAAACTGCCGTTGTTGTTCATCTTCGTCGTTCCAAACATAAACAAAATCACAAACGAGAGAAACGCGCGGCACCTCCAGCGGTTCTTCTCCTTCACCCACCTGATAACACTTCGGGAAGGGGCCTTGGTACCGTCGAAGAAGCCTGAGGCCTCCTGTAATGCGGGAGCCAATACGTGGCCAGTAACGCAGGTAGCGAACCATGATTTCCCAAGGCACGTCGTCATAAACTTCATTCCATCTCTCAGCTGGTTTCCACTGGTCAGGCGCTTTGGCCAATTTTTCGCAATCGGTTTTGATCAAGATTGGGGAGAGCTCGCCTCTGAAGAAACACTCTCCTCGTTCGATCGGGGCGAAATGCATTGCTCTGGACGGCTACTGTTCAGTCACAAGCACGCACGGATTCAAACCACATGTGCTAGTTTGTGCGGCTTCCGGGTTGTGGCACTCGAAATGATTGTCCATGTGCTTGCACGTGACAAATTCCACATGTGTGAAAATGCGAACATGCTTTCGCAATCCGTCTTCCCCAAGCAGAAACACACAGTCTCTCGGACGCATTACAATCTAGCAGGACCCGCTGCCATCAATGCAAGCACACAGACAGACACACAACTTTTCTTTGCAGCGCAGGATGAATCCTCTAGTTGTTGCCAGGCCTCCTGGTCGGGCCACAACAGGGCCTATGGTCAATGACGTGTTGTCTGGCCTGCGCTTCTGTCATCTTGGAAGCCACACGTCCCCAGTGATAGGGTACGAGGTGGCTCCACTCGCCTTCAATGCCAGAAACACATGGGTTCATGTAATGTGACACAACACACAGCAGATCAGGCAACCACATCGAAGCTATAACAAATGTTCCGAATCTTTCCAAGAGACCGCCGTCTGTCACACGAACTCGGAGAAACCATTTTGCTTTGTCAGTGCCACCAGGATTCGGGTCGTACTTCATCTCACCAGCGATCTTGGGACACTCCGGGCATTGAACAGGTGTCCATACCCCTTGGTAGTCAACACGGTTCGGCCGCCGCGGATGTTGGGGGCCACGGACTGCAACCTCCCGTGGCTCGAGTGCTGGGATAGGCACTGCAGGCACCTCCGGCATCTCAGCAGGAGGGGCTGGCACTCTGCCTTCCTCGGGCTCCACGTGATCATCAGGCTCTGGGACAGGGATTGCAGCAGGCACCTCCGGCATCTCAGCAGGAGGGGCTGGCACTCTGCCTTCCGCGGCCTCCACGTGATTATCAGCCTCCGGCTCCACCGGCACCTCAGCAGGAGGTGCTGGCACTCTGCCTTCTGCTCCCTCTTGACCACTTTCATCAGGAGGCGCGGGTTGCTTCCTGGGCAACATACGTGGGCGACAAATCTTTCTCTTGGCTTTCCGTTTGGCCTGTGGCTTGGCCTTTGCTTTGGTCTTTGCTTTGGCCTCGCCCTTTGCCTTGGCCTTTGCTTGCTGCGTCTTGATGGCCTGCCAGGTTTGATGCACCCTTTTGATTCTGCGTTTTCTGACTGCGTCTGAGACCATTTTAAATTACTGTTTGTCCTCAGCAAGCAGGTCGTCAAGAACCAGCTCATCAACAAAGTCCCCCATGATAATGTCATCCTCATCCTCATCCTCTGTTGAATCTTTGGCTGTCGAATACAGAGCCTCAATTTTGCGCATGAAATCCTCATCTTCCGGAAGGTGATGAGAAGCGATCAGGCTCATGAGCTTTGGACGGCGCATTCGTTGCAGCTCCTTTCGCTTTTTTTCGTTTACGTTTCCAGTCTGGGAGATCACATGCTCGGCGAGATTCTGGCAGTCTGCGAGAGTCCGACATGCTTGTGACATTTCCCTCAGTCGAGTCAGCAAAAACAAGCACAGCAAAACTTATATAAGTTTATTGTACTATTGACTGTATGGGTCGACAGTTGACAGAATCCTAAATGAAAACATGTCACTTGGGATGCTGCAACATATAGGATAGAAGTGACACTGAGCTTGTAGCACAACGACGGAGGCAAATGAAGCCATTCCAGAAGACTGCCTCTGTTTCGACGACTTCCCAATACTGGGGCTCATACAAATGAATCCAGCAGGCCTTGACGCTGGAACCATCCGGGCACTCTGCCTTCAAAACAAAATATATCTCTCCTGTCGACTGGTCCTCATGCTGGACCACTGGCCACATGAGAGCAGCCCAGGTTTTTGCCCCAAGAGAGAGATAGCATGTCAAATCCAAGACATGTTTCAAGATCTTCAAAGGGGCTGCAAGGCTGCTAAACTTCCCAGCACGCAAGGGAACATGCTGAGATGCCAGTCTTGCATCATTGTAGTGAATTAGCCATGACCACGCAGCTGATGCTCGTTCGAGTGTCTCTTCTGACAGGGTGTTCCATGTCTTGTCGCCGACAATCTCGGTATACTGTGACGGCAGCTTGTGGACACATCCTCTGAAGCACAACTTTGGGCGCTTCCTGTCCACATTCCAAAACTCCCTTTCAAAATATTCCCGTTTGACTTTTGCCGG